ATAAATTATATATATATAAACGTATATAACCATCCTCTTACCCGACTTAAAGTTCTTACCCGGCATTTATTTTCGCAATCTTGGATAGTAGTGATATACTTCCATTAACAGAGTTTTTAAATGACAAAAATATTCATGATTTGGCAATGTCAAATTTGCAAAAATTCATTTCCTACAAATAACAAAATATAACTTTTAATATCCCGATTTTTATACCTATATTTGGGAAAGCTTCATACTGTTTATGAAAAAATAAAATTAGAAGTTTGACTGATAAAAATTGACCTGAATAGTTAATTTTCAAATTTGCAATTTCTGATATCATTTTCAACTTGCCTTCTGTTTATTAAGTCAGAATAGTTCCAAGAAATAAGTTTAAGTGAAGTACAGCAAAAAAAAAAAAAAAAAAAAAAAAAAATATGTATAATTTAACGGGCTGTACAAGGATGCCATGTGGTATCCATATCAGATTTTCTTAAAAGTAAAGTGAATAAAATATGATTTTTTAATTGCTGTAGTAAGAATAATTGTCAACTGAAACTACACAGAAAATTTTCAGTTAAAAATCATTGCGAGAGTTCTACAATTAAGGGATATTATATTCTTTATGAGTAATTTGCCAGAAAGTTAATAAATTTCATGTACGAATTATTTTTATTAGAACAGAAAATTATCTGTGTGTTTAACTGAGGGTTGTTATTTTAGTTAGCATTTGAAGTTGTGACAAGTATCTTATACTTTACTAACAAATAATTTAAATACTATTCTATCTTCCTTTTGATTCTCCTGACACATATTCGCTCAGACTAGAAAATTATGCGAAAATAAAGAACACGCAGGAAACTCTACTGGAAAATTTGTGAAGTAATTCTTAGCGGTGTGCTGTTAAGTGAATATACTTTTAAAAGTAGTCTAAAACCCTCTTAACGTTATAGGCGTAAAATTCAGTAAAGAAGGGTGGCTTTCTTATTCTTTACACATGAAAATTTCTACCAGCTTTGAATGTATCCCATTTCGGGTTGGTTGTATTTTGGAAGAACAGGAATCAACGTGCAAAGTGAGAGAGTTGTTTTTTTAATTATAATCATGAAAGTACCATTTATTCATGACATTTTGAGGAACTTTAGTATTTCAGGGCGCAACCCGTAACTCTCGAGGATTAAATATTGGAATTGTCAAGAATAATTCGGTTACGTAATCCTTAATTGAATTTCTCATAACTATCTTTTTTCTACTGCAACAGTAAATATATACTTAAGTATTAAGATTAACAGTAGCGAAAATGAAGCCGTATAAGGACATATATGGACACCGTATATAATAGCAAGCAATTGCAAAAGCTAAAACGTAATCAATTCTCAATTATAAACTCTATTTTTATCTGTTCTGTGCTAAAAATATAATTTACATTGCGAAGAAAAAAAAAATAACAATAATAAAAAAATTTGAAAGATTTCAGATTTTAAATGAAGTCCAAAGTTTTTTAACGTTTTGTGTGTTACCTTTATTTATTAAATATCATGTTTGCACTTAAACCATAAAATTCAGTTCAATAGCAATGTATCGCAAAAGATTTTTAAAAAATATGAGCCTATTTAGGAATTTCCGATACACAGTCTTGCGCGCTGAAGATAAAATTGTTTTTTTTTTTTTTTTCCTTTTTCACCCCGTAGAAGTGTTGCCATTGCTCGCTTTTAAATCGTTGAGTTTGTTACTCAAAAATTCGTTAAAGTTTTACACAATATGAAATCGATAATAAAACAAATTCCAAATTTCAAATTTGGTTTTCTCCATGCCCATATTCATAGGAGGATTACATCATTCAAAATTCGATGGCTCTAGGTACCGCTGTTTTATCACAATGCGAGAAATATGCGTACATTTATGCAGATTTTACATTATTTAATTTCTTCAAATATAATGCAGGACTCTAACATTTGGTGGCAACAGTTTGAAAAGTGAAACGCACATTTAAAGTGATTCAACGCAAAATCGCAAAAGGGAAACAAGTTCTTCAAGGACAAAGCCCCTTTGGACTAAAAAAGGGGGCAGACAGTTCTATATTGCCCGTTCTACTGGGCCGATTGACGAAATTCAAATTACGTTTTTCATGTCTCGAAAGCGCGATATAGGATATATATTAGATTTACATACAGCGTTATTCTAACATAGGTATTTTGACACAAAATCGGACTTTTTCTGAAATAACATATCATTTTCTTTCCATGTTTCGGTTCTACGACTCAAATTATGCCTAGAAATAAAATTTTATAAAATGTGGTGCAAAATTTACAGAGAAATTCAAAAATTTATCTTGGCGCAATTTTTTTTTTCAGTTTGCGCCAAGAATAATTCACTTGGCGAGCGTCTTAATATATAGCAACCTATTTCTTGTCCTTTCTATTATGCCGGAGCGGAAAAACGGCACCTCGTTCCTACTTTTTTACATTGTACATGAACGGAAAAAAAGTCACATCGTTCCTACTTTCAAATAATTTTAACAAAATGTCTAAGCACATTTGACGTTTTATCGCTTTCATCAAATATGCCAAATTTCAAAACGCGCCAATATATAGATTCACCTATATCTTCGGACATTTTGAATAAAAAACTAATTTTTTGCAGGTATGCTTAGAAACACATCTACATTAAAATGATGGTAAAAATTTCATAGATTATAATTCAAAATGTTTTTCGAAAAATTTATAAAAAATATTAAAAAATACAAATTTTAAACATAAATCATAAAAAATGGGTGAATTTATTTGGAAAGAACCTGAATTTCGAAATGCGTAAGGAGGAATCAAATAAGTTTAATAAAAAAAAGAGAGATTAATAAATATATACCAAACTCAATTAACATCGAGGAGCTAAAATTTTGAGAGCTAATTTTTTAAAAACGACTCGACTGAGTCGTAGAATTGAAATATGGAAAAAAATTGGCATGTTGTTTGGGAAATAGTCAGATTTTGTGTCAAAATATCCATATTAGCACAATGCTATGTATAAATCTAATACATAGCCTCAGTTCCGCTTTCGAGACGTGAAAAGCGCAAGTTGAATTTCGTCAATCGGCCCAATAGATCGGGAGATATCGAACTGTTCTCTTTTTTTTTTCCCCCGCAGTGTACATTGCATTATCGGCAAAAAAAAAAAAAAAACTGGCTCACTTCAGCTCAGCAGGTGACTAATGAGTTTCTTTTTGCTACAGGACAACGGATTTTCTGTAGCCAGACACGGCGGCATACCTGTTGGTGTGTCCCATTGCTCAGAGAGTACCCTACAGCCCTTTTGCAATGGCGTTGGGAACTTTACCCTTGGTCTACATACGGCTGCACTGTCCTCAGACGAGAATTTCTGTCTGTCACAGGATTGTAGACTGTAAATGATCTGGCGTAAGAGTGGTATTGCTTATCTTACAGAAAATATCCAGAAAGGTGCCGATATCCGAGATGCAGTATCATAGTATGGGACGGTATTATGATCAGTGGCTGCAGGCCCGTACATGTGGCTCATTGATGAAGTTCTGCTGCCTGACGTTTGCTTTTCCATGGTGGTTTCGGGAAAACTCATGGACGACAATGCGCCATCGAACATTCGCTGTTCAGGATTGTCTAGACAGCGAGAATATTCAACGCTTCGTATAGCCAACACGTTCTCTAGATCTAAACTCCGTTGAAAATATTTGGCATGCTCTGGAAAGGCGATATGCTGGTCTAAAATATTCTCCAATTCTTGATGAGCAAGGATATCCTCATCAGTGCACCCTCATCAGAAGGGTGGGATCAATTGCCTCAATAGCTACTGCATAATTTTATGTTAAGCATGAGATGGCGTGTGGACATTTCCCTAGCACTTCACGTATATCCCTAGTGACACCTTTTTTTAAGGTGCCTTCTATCGTTCATATGCATATTCTCATTTTTTCGAACTCGGTATCAAAAGAATATTTTTTAAATTTTGGATATTTCAAAACCTTTTGCATTTTCCTGAACTTTAGGACATGAATGATCCGAACATTAGAATTAAACTGTTTGGACATTAAAACAATGCAATGAATTACATTGTTCGGCCATTAGAATATCCTTTATTCTAATGTCCGAACAATATGGGAATAACATTTTACTCTGTTTAGCCCGCATCCCCGCTTAATGTTATGCTATATAGGAATTTGAAATCCGTCCCTACTTTATTATTGATAAAATATTCAAACGTAAATGTGGGGTGCTCATTGTATACTAACTTCAAGAAACATTTTAAACCACCGATGATTAGAGTTAACTTTAAACTATTTACATGCACCTTTTAAAATACATTAGTTTAATTTAAATCTAAAAAAGGTAATTAATTGATTATAGATCACAGTAAAAATTAGTAAATTTTCTGTTTTCATGCTGTTGGTAATTTTAAGTTGTTCACTATAACTAACATCAACTATAATCACCTGGGGATCTATAGTAAAAATGCTAATGTAACCTAGGCAGATGGCCTTTATTTGCTTCACTTAAACTAAAAAACTCAATTGAAGCTTCTTTATTACTTCTTTTCAGTTAAAAATTCTTAATTTTCTGGCTCTTAAGAAATTCTCGTCAAGATTTATTGTTTCTGTTATTTCTGAAACAGGCCTTGACAGAATTACACAAAAATGAAACAGGAGAAATTATTTATAAATAACTATAATTAATTAATTATGTCGCCTAGTCGGTATAGCGGTCAGGGAAGCTGACTGCGATGCCGAAGGGCCTGGGTTCGAATCCTGAAGAAGGCATGGTTGTAACTGTCCGTCCCTTCATAGGAAAGGTGAAGGTGGCCCACCTATTAGCTGCCTCCATAATAAAGAGACCACCACATCTGGTCTTGTATAGATTAATGGACTGAGTTACATTTGTAATTGTTCATAATCTGCCATTGGAAAAAATTCAAGATTTATTAAACCTTTATTCTGAAATTCTAGGCGTATGTTAACGTAAAACAGTAATAAGGAAAACAATGTACAGCTGTATCAAATTACATAATTTTATTACAATATTTCAAAATCTTGCAACATATGAGAATAATCCAATGTTTCTAGAGAAACAAATCTAACTTTTTTACAGTTCTAAATATGTAACTTAAAAATTTTCACAAATTAAGAAATGTTGAAATCTATGAACTAGGTAAAAATGTGTAATAAATCTAAGTAAATCAAAGTATTATATATTTTCTTGATTTTACTCAAATGTAGGCACAGTAAATTTTTATTCGCAGAAGAATATGCCATAAAGCGTAAAAACAGTACGGACTTTCTAGGGGAAAAAAAATCTTCCAAAAATTCCAGACGCTTCTAAATTTGTTATTTCTTGTTTTAAAATAGTAGATTCTCTTGAGATTATTCCGTCTGATAAATCTGAAATTAAACACAAAATTAGTGTTAATGCAGTTTATATTTACATACATACATAAGATAAAGAGTACAGAAGCAAAATTTTAACTTCAGTTTGAAATAATTCCTTAGTTTTAATTTTTCCTTCGTTTTAATTTAATTATTTACCTTTCCATCCTAAAAATAAAAATAATAACTTTATATAATAAATCGCTCTAAACTGCATCCTTTCACAATTAATATATATCTTATGATTCTTACATAACACTTTTGACGGAGATACCTACTACATACCAATAACAGCTTCAAATTTCAAATCGAAACTTAATAGTAACCATTAAAAATAAAGTTAAATTAAAACTAAATCAATGTGAGCCAGGATTTCATCTTCAAAATATCATATCTGCTCTCCGCTTCTCTGACTAACTAGATTGCCCTTGTTGCTTTCATACTTACTGCAACATGAGAATGTAAAATTCGTTTGGAGAGATATAGAAATGCTGGTTTAAACGCATTATTAAAATTTAAAATAGATTGATGTCTAAAAGGGTAAAAACAAAAAAGCGGAAAATTAGCATAACCCAGAAATGTTTCTTTGCGTTAAAAATTGAAGAAAGTAAGATCGAAGTAGCCAAATTTTGAAAATTCAATAAGTGATTTTATCTGAATCATGCCAGATGATGGGATTTAACAGGTTGCTTCCAGCAGAGCCCGCGACGTTTGAAAGTAAACCTAGCTCTTAATGTAAATCGTTTCTTAATGTAACCATTGAAAGCCAATTACAAAGCGAAGCAACTGCGTCTTGAAGAGACAAATAAGTGGACGTCTAAAATGTCACAATCGCTGTGAATAGTCACTTCAAGTGCCTGCAAGTTATGTCACTGCGTATTGATGTTTATCCAGCCTTAGAGCATTAACAAGAAGAGCCATATCTCACAGGCGGCTACATACAGGCCCACTACATCCAAGACGATTAAGGATTTGCGTCCCACTCACTACCACGTTTTTGATGAGACCTACTTAAAATGATCTCGAGATCACCTTCATTAAACTTCATTTCAATGCAGTGTTTTTGTGGATGAATCATAGTTTGTTCTATTGATATTTCCGATATTTACTGGTCTGTGTAATGCTTGGAACCTATTATCACACCATTAACATCCTTGTAATGCATGCATACAAACAGTAGTGGTTCAGAAGTATAGGCAGGGATAATTAAAGGCGGTCTCATTGATCTTCACAAAATCTTCCTTCACGGTTATAATTGCAACGTAGAAGAGAAACCATGTTCTTGTTTAATATTTACAAAATGGCCAGCTGCGGTAAGATAGCTTCCCTGCAAAACGGAATTAGGATTTCAAGAAAGTGGCAAGGAAAGGCAGGTTTGCCAGATTTGGCACGAAATCACTCATTTGGTGACAAAAATTATCGATGTGCCCTAGACGGAGTGAGAACATTCTAGAACGAATTCTTGCCGGTTTTCACGAGAATGCTTTCAAAGGCAGGTCAAAAGCTATATATACCTTACCTGTACGCGAAGTTCCTGTACGCGAGTTCAGTAGTAATGTCTTGAGTTCCGAGAACAATGGACCGAGTCGGAAGCTGTACTATAGTGCTTTGTGGTGAAGCTGTTTTCACCGTAATAGCCTGATTGCTGTGTTTCTGATAGTTTCAGCGTGATTGTTGTAGCTTTGCAATGACTGTAACGCGTATTTTGAAATTTCTTGTGTAATACCAACGAACAAATTGTGTTTTGATTCTTTATCAAGTGTTGTCATCATTCACTCCAAATCCACGGGTTCGTGGAATGCAACAATATATTCATTTCTTGCGACACTGATCTTGGTGCCGCTCTAATCGGCAAGTGAGTTTCGAGGGCTGGTATTGTCAACCAGGTCTTAGAATCGAAAAACAATGCTTCGTGTGGAATGACCATTAAGGTCGCCCGACTTGGTGCCCATAAAACATATATCAAGTATGGTTGGAAGACGTTTAATGTTTTTCATAATTCTTTCCTGAATTATTGCTAGTTCAGAATACGTCTGCAAGTGAATGCAGATGCCCAAATTTTAACAGAATATATCTTTCTAATACTACAAATTATAATAAATTAGAAATATATCAGCATTAAATATTTTTATTTCCAAATAATACACACAGTTGAAAGTGAAAAACATACCTTGTTTTGTTCTAGATTATTTTCATGTTTTTCCTACTTAAGAAATTACTTGGGGTTTACAACCACTGAAATAAAACAAATGTATTGCATTAAATACCACATACAAGAAAGACCAAAATAAATTAGGAATAAACAAATAAAAAACAAAACAAATAGCATTAGTCTAAGGAAAGGAAACAAACAAATAAAAAAAATTAGAAAATCTTGCATTTAATTAACATTGCTATTTTGTTGGTGCAATAAGAAATCTTTAAAACGATATGAAACTCGTCGAGCAAGACATTTTAACATGCGTAAAAGTTTTGACTGTTGTTATATCTCAAACAAACTAACAAATAATTGCTTACTACTAATTTAGTTAATTCTGTAGCTAAATACTATTCAGTAGTATATTTTAAAAATCTTTTACTTGAAAAAACTTTCAATAAAAAAGACAAAGTATTTCTTTAAAGCATTATTGCGCTATCATCTCAAATTATACGTTTTTTCACTACAGCTGAAATGATAACTAAATCATTGAATAGAAATGTGTATAATATGACGGGAAAACTTTCTCTTTCAAAGATATAGCAGAACTGAATTAATTTAAAACCAAATAAGCAATGTATAGAACAGAAAAGTCTTACTGCAGAGAGAGGGGTATTTAGATGTCTTCTTATATTTTTTAGTGCAATCAGCGCCACAACAGGAGCCTGCAGGACAATAAGAACATGTTCTTCCGGCGTTGTACATTTCCTCTTCATCCCAGTTGCCTCTGAGAGATGCCACAGAAGATTAATTTGACAAATAGAATAATCTAATTCCAAATATTTAAAAAAATTCTTTGAACTTGTGACTTTTCACTATAATGTTTTGAGATTTTATACATATTTGCATTTGTTTCTATATAATTCGCGTTTTATATACTTTTATATTGTTATACAATTGTTTCCATGTACTTATTTATTTAGCGCCTTTTTATTGGAATTTTATTATTTATTTATTTATTTATTGGCATATGTGACTTAAATTTGAATTTGTGCCTGCGCAATATATTTGTATGTGAATACGTCATGTATTATGCTGTATATTTTTCAAATTTTGAATTAAATGTGTTAGACGAGCAAGCCTCACCGTACCGGTCCTTTGAGGTAGGCTTTGTCACCAAGTTCGCGACATTGTCTATATTTTTCCAATAGTCGATATCTTGGAAGTTTTCAAAAAGAAAAAGCACATTTGAAAGCATTAGAAGTGGTTTTCTTTTGAGTTTTTAGAAGTGCTCATCTTCCTCCTCGGCTAAATCTATAAACAGGAAGCTGTCAGCAGACGTCGGCTCAAGCAAACTCGATAAAGAAGTTCGTAGAAGGGGTGTCCGCGGTTTAACGCTAACCCGGCTTAATGTTTGACGATTTTCAAATCCATGAGATGTGCGAATACTTGGAGAGAAAAATATCATAGAAGTCCAACGGAAAAAAGTCATTAAACACGGTAAACCATTTAGATGAATCCGAACGGATACTCCTACGGCAGCAGCCGAGGCGAAGGTAAGTGCGCAGAAAATAAACCATTGTACAAGCAATTATTGTGACACTGTGTAAAGAGAAATGCCTAATATTGCCCTAAATTGCGAGAGTCCTATCAACTTCATGCATAAGTGGATGTAGGCTATATATAATTATGTTTACAAAAATACATGCTATAAATACATGACATACAAATTATTTACATAGTATTTACAAAAATATATACATGCAGCCAAGGGCGTACCTGACCAGACGTCATTCAGTCATTTTGTTCGTCTTTGAATGGTGCAATTACCTCGAGCTTTTCGCTCAGGGGTTGTTGCTTTACACTTTCCTACGTGAATGTCATATATTATGAATACACGCATATTTTTAGTTCTCTTACAGTTCACCAGGAGGCAGATGTAAGAGTGTACTAAATAGCAGATGATAGGCACATGCTTCTTTTTAAGTAAAATAACTGAATTTCAACATATTATAAGAAAACTGAGAATGAGAGGGATGTCCAGAGACAGTTTGGAATAACGGAAGAATTCTATATTCCGCAACAGACATGAGTAACAGCTACAAGATTACTTTACAAGATTGAGAAGGAACGAACATGTGGTATGAAGAAGAAAGGATGCTAAAACAAGAGAACAACAAGCGTATGAAATGTGGAGACGGGCTTTTATAGACTTTCAGCGTGCGTCATAAAATCCATAGACAAGGGATGACATGAGACTATCCGCTTTTGTCAACTTGTTCTGTAACGCTGTAGACGATGGATTGTCTGTCTGACTTATCGCCTATCTCATTAACCCCTTAGACCAATATACATATGTATCCAATGTACCTATACCACCAATGTACCTATGTATGAAACTTTTTATTAATTGTATACTGAAGCATATATATGCACACGCCCTTGTTTGGCCACGTCAATACCACATATTCTCCATTAATATATTTCCGATGCAGCCCTTTTAGGAAGTCGCCAGGGTTGTGTTGTTCTAAATAGGTGCGGGTACCGGACGACACCCGATTTGTCATATTAAGCCGTCCGGGTGTCCGGGCCCTGCATTCACCTGTCACCTGTCTGACTTATCTCAGGTGTCTGACAGTAGTATCTGCCAAGCCCACGAAATTCATCGTGGCAAGGAGTGCGAGATTGCACCTGTCGTTGGCAAGAGTCTTGAGCACCATACAGGTGACAGGAGGACTTCAGTCAACCTTGCCCAGTACAGGGATCGAACTCCGGATCTGCAGTGCATCTGCGCGATGCGCTAGCCACTGCGCCACCGGGTCCACGATGGACTGTTCTACTGGTTATCATTTGCAGTTTCCATAGCTTTAAGGTATGTAACATCAAAAAAGCTTCCATTTACTGCTATTAGCATTCTTGATATGAACATTCAAGAAATGTTCACATTAAAACTTTTTGTTGACAGTTAATTTCTTGCAGTAGCAAAAGTTTGAATCATAAACAATTCATTGTGTGTGATGTCCACGGAGGAAACAGCTAGCTCACTAAATAGGTATGTTTATCTCATCAACATAGGCAATTATAGTCGCTCTAGTGAGGTTCTAGATTGAGAAGTGGCAATTATAACACCATTTCTTAATCTGTTTTATTTCATTATATTTCAGGAAAAGTTAACTGGTTAGTAAAAAAATACATTTTATTTTAAATTTAAAAAGGAACAAAGACACCGTTATGTTTAGCTAAAATTTAAATATAAAAACAATGGAATATTTGCTCTTAATTTTAAGGTTTTTCAGTAGTTTTTGTTTATTATTTATTACTTAAATGAATTTTTATTTTTTCTTCTATTTGTAGAAAATTCATTACCTTCACTTTTATCCTAAATCTTATTTAAGTGAACGTATAGACGAGATTCTCTCGCGATTTCTAATATTTTTACTTACACAATAAATTTCTATATCAACACAATTCTGAATAACAGTAAATAAAGACTTTTAATCTCGGTTATATATTCTAGTTATTTTGGGTTAAAGTAATATAAAAATTAAATGAATATTGAAAAGGCAAGGAGGAAGAGTTTAACTATTTATTTTGGGAAAATAAAATGCAATTATTTATTTTAATGATATGTATACATCAAAGTCAATTTCCCCTTTTCCCGCTAGTTTTTTTTTTTTTTTTTTCATATAAAGGAAGCATTAATATTTAAGAATTAAATTTTGTATACAAAAGCGTATAAGAAGAAATATTTTGTAATCTCCCTATAGATATTTTTCAAATTATACTTTTATGTTTCATTCTCATTTTAAACAACTGAGTTTACTTTTGTGAAAAAATAATTTTCTTACGCTGGTCCATAGTTACAAACAAGATAACTTCTGTACCACTCTGGTTCTTTGTACACGACAAATCCGCAGCCAAGCTTCCATGTCGTAGCCCAGACAATCTAAAAATTGAAAGAGTTTTCTTTTAACTTAAATTTTTGAGCTTTAAAAACAAATAGTTTTCCTCCTGGTTAAAATAATAGTAACGCTTATTATTTTTCACTATTTAAAATGAAAAAAAGAATTTTTTTTCAGGAATTTAGTGATTAGTATCAGCTATTGAATCTATCCGTAATTTATGTTAAAAAATTTAATTCTTTCACAAAGTATCTATAAAATACGTCTAGAGACAAATCAAATCAAATATATGATGAGTTATCATTTATAAATCAAATATATCATGGGTTATCATTTATAAATCAAACATATCGTGGGTTATCATTTATAAATCAAATATATCTTGGGTTATCTCTATCTCTACATATAATAAAAGAAAGAGTCTGTGTGTCTTCCGTTCGTGCTGCGCGTAAGCTAATAAACCCAGGGCAATGAAATTTGGTATATATGTGCATCTAGACAAGAGCCAGTGCACCTCGAAGCAATTTTTTCAAAATTCGAAACAGATTTTTTTTATTTTTATCTTTTCGATTTTATCGCATCATTTTGAATAGTTTCATTCTTTTAGAAATGTGATTTTGTCAACAGTTTTTCATTCAATTGTATACTGGACTGCTGTTGAAAATCAGCACTGTTGCCACTTGGAAAAATGACGGCGATAATTCTGTGCAGTTTTTAAATTTAATGTTTCTCTGGGAGACTGGACTTTGTTGAGAGAAGGCAACGGGAAGTTGGTTAATTTACTTATTAAGATAATTAATATATGTATTAAGGGACATTGGTTATTTCATTGTAATTTTGTTATATGTTATATTTGTTACATTTTTTTTAATTTGTGTTTTTGCGATTGTGCGTTGAATCACTATAAATGTCCGTTTCACTTTTCAGACTGTTGCCATTAAATGTTAGAGTCCTGCATTATATTTGAAGAAATTAAATAATGAAAAATCTGCATAAATGTACATATATTTCTCGCATTGTGATAAAACAGCGGTACCTAGAGCCATCGAATTTGAATGACGTAATCCTACTGCGAATGTGAGCATGTGGAAGCCCAAATTTGAAATGTGGAATTTGTTTTATTATCAATTTCATATTTTGTAAAACTTTAACAAATGTTTTTTTTAACTTGAATTTTTGACTAAACGAATTTTTGATTTAAGAAACTTTTGATTTTTGATTTTTTGATTATTTTGTAGAACTTTAACGAATTTTTGATTAACATGGACACGCCAAGGATTTCAAAGCGAGCAATGGCAACGTTATACAGAAAAACCATTTTTATCTCCAGCGCGGGAGTCTATCTGTATCGGAAATTCTAAAAATATGCTTATTTTAAAACCATTTTGCGATATTGCTGTTGAACTGAATTTTATGGTTTAAATACGAAGAACGTGATATTTAATAAACACGTGTAGCACACAAAATGTTAAAAAAAAAACGCCCCTTTGGATGTAATTTAAAATCTGAAACATTTCAGTTAAATCAAATACATCATGCGTTATGTATAAGGGTTTAATAAACCAAAACGTATTTTATCGCGATGAAAATTATTTTGCGGAAATTTAAAGAATATTTAAAAATACCTTTCTTTTTTAAAACAAAAGATGTAAAATGAATCCGCGAATTCCAATTTTTTAATTTCTTACTTGTATTATAATCATTAAAGCTATTTTCCATCAGAATTTCTAAAAACTATACTCTGAAAAGTAATCCTGTTGCCAACTCCAATTTAGAAGATTTCTGAGTTTCTTGAATACAAGCAAATGTCATTTCGTTAAGTTTCGTAAAGTTTCCCCACTTTGGCAGTCAAAGCCAGTAAGTGATTTCGAAACCTTTGAATTCTAAAACCAGTCTGTTCAATTTTTTAATCAAGTTCTTAATCTGTGCCATTTTTTAAAAATAAATACGTATCTATGCTATAAATAAGGGTTTTTATCCTGTTGGATGAAGCACTGCGGATCATGATATCTCTACCTAGCATATAACTGCTAATAGCCTGTTTTCATTAACACAACAGGTCAATTAAAATTTGCTTTATGCTAAATGAGTTCCCTGCAATTGAATGAACTTCCAAAAATGGAAGCATAAAAAGTTTTAACAAACAATGGAAAAAATAGTGCAGTTATTTTCGAATGCTGATAATATTCCAGAAGAACATATCTGAAATTGGGAGTTTTAGATTACAAGATAGACACTATGAAATTGTTTAATACATTTTTAATAATTCCTTTATTATAGCGGCCCCCCAACTTTGAATCACTAATCAACTGAGATATCTTGTCGAAATCTCGTCGCGTGTTTTTAATACATGTTACGCTATACGTTACATCTTGTATAATTAGCGGTTAAATTCTGAAGGTCGCTATGATAAGGAAGTACCCTTTTTATTAGTGAATTTCAGTACTATTCATTTTTATTATAGAGGCACCTTTTAGGCGGTCAACGTTACCTCCAACAGGGGACAACCGTTAAGGTGACAAACAACAATGCACACTGCGAAAAAAAGGGGGGGACAGTTCTATATCGCTCGTTCTACTGGGCTGATTGACAAAATTCAAATTGCGTTTTTCATAGCTCGAAAGCGCGACTTAGGATATATATTAGATTTATATATAGCATTGTTCTAACATAAGTATTTTGACAAAAACAATGGACCTTTTTCTGAAATAACATGCCAATGTTTTCCTATATTCCGATTCTACGACTCAAATTATGCCTAATATTAAATTGTGCAAAGTTTGGTACGAAATTTACGGAGAAATTCGAAAATTTATCTTGGCACAATTTTGTTCAGTTTGCGCCAAGAATAATTCACTTGGCCAACTTCTTAATATATGGCAACCAATTTTCCTTTCCCTTCCATTATGCTGGAGCGAAAAAAAAAAAAAAAAAGCACCTCTTTCCTTCCTTTTCACATTTTGCATGGGCGGGAAAAAAGACACATCGTTCCTACTTTCAAATAATTTTAACAAAGTGTCTAAACCACGCTTGATGTTTATCGCTTTGAACAAATATGCCAAATTTCAAAACGTGCTAATATATAAATTCACCTATATCTTCCAGGGATAAAAATAGAAGGGCTAGGTCATTTCTTTGTTCGACTCCTCGCCGACGCGAGCCTCATGGAGAGGATGAATTGGAAGTAATCTGACGTGTCTGTGTTGCACCTGCTCTGATTTCGCGCGTTTAAAACTGTACTTTCATTCACTTGCGAAACTATTTTCTGGAGGTCGCATATCCCAAATTAATTTTAATCATACATATTTGTTTTCTAATAATGCAAATATTTAATAATTTGTATATATATAGATATAGTTTTTTAGTCAGCTTTCCTTTTAAATTCTATATTTAAAGTATCCTTTATGTAATATGGCTTCTTGTGCTGTAGCAACGTGCCGTAACGCTTATAGAAATACGAAAGGAAGAGATATTGTATTTCATGCTTTCCCAAAGGACAATTTGCTTTTGACGAAAGAATGGATACATGAATGTCGAAGACAGGATTCTATTAATGTGAAAAACGCAAGAATTTATGGCGAACATTTTCTGTGCAGTGATTATGAAGATGACATAAGAAATCGCTTGCTTGGATTGCCGCAAAAGAAACTGTTGAAATGCAATACTGTGCCGAAAGTAAATTTATCGTATGCAATAAACGAAACAACACCAAGAAATCGGAGACATTTGAAAAGAAAAGTAATGCAGAGTGGTTTTGAAAAACTACATGAATTAATACCAAAGAAAATTTATTTTGAAGCTGAGAACGAAATTGAAGCTGACAATAATAAATCAAATGTCAATGATTTTGAAATAAAATTCACAAGTGACAATGTCCTAAGTGACAATATCCCTGAATGCCCTAAGTGTAAAGATAAACAAGAATGTATTGATAATTTGAAGAACAAAATAATATCCTTAGAAAATTGTAATAAAATATTGAAAAATAGAGAAAAGAAAAATTTTAGAATGTTTGCTCAGCGACAAAGAAGGTGGACGACATCTATAAAGAAATTTGTATCGGAAATTTAGAAATTAAAATCCCAAACAGCGAAATTTAGGAAAAAATAGCACGGATCGGAGAATTAGGAAAAACGGTCTAAAGCATATTTTTACAAAGACGCAGATTAACGCATTGCTAGAAAAGAAGGAAAAAATCAGGTGGACTAGTGAAGATATTTCACGTTGCATTGTCATAAGAGCTCTGTCATCTATAAGGAACGTTTTTGGTAAGAAAAAATAGGAATTCCTTTACCTAGCACTAACATATTAAGGAGATGGTGCGCTAAATTTTCATGTAGTTCAAGAATTCAGAGTGATGTTCTTCCTGTAATGAAGGAACGATGCGAATATTTAAACTCTGTAGAAAAAATATGCGTTCTCGGTTTCGACGAAATGCATATAGATTCTAAACTTAGCTATGACTCTAAACTGGACCAAATTCTCGGTCCTTTTCAAAAAGTGCAGTTTGGTTTAATCAGAGGTCTCATTTCGCAGTGGAAACAACCAATATTTTTTTATTTTAACACTCGAATGAAAAAGACATATTCAATCATCTGGGCCCACCAGCGGCCGGGCGGAAAAGTCGCTGAACACTGGTAGTTCGGTCCGAGGTTCGAATCCCGCGAACGGGCTGGCTGCATGGGCGTTTTCGTGGTTTTCCCCATGTGTAACGTGTATACGAGCCAGTTTCCCTTAGAAAGTCCTCCACGAGGGCATCCCTTCCCTTAGGCAGATAGCCCTCGAGGCTTTGCCATAATCACACACGCAAACACAATCATCTGGAGTAGAAGGGAAAGCAATAGTGTCTGATTTAGGATGATCTAGTACTTTGTGGAAAGAGTTACAGATTTCGATTAATAGTTCTCAGTTTCCAAATACAGTATTGCAAACGAAAAAAAAATATGGGTTTTTGCAGATTTAGCGCACTGCTTCAAATTACTGAGAAACCGCTTTTTCTTATGGCTTCCACTTTTTCCTATGGAACCTTCTCCTATATCTTGGGAATTAGAATTGAATTCCGCCAGACAATTTTCGACCGCCGAAAAAGAAGCATTAACATATGTTGCAGGTTATATTGCCTACCGTGTGCGAAACAAAGACCCATCATTGGGAACAATATCTAAAAATAGTGCTGATGAACCAATATTTTAATTCAGAATGGATTAAATTATTCATTCTTAATTAAAATATTGGACTTATTAATAGATTGGAGGTTTGACTACACCTTCCCATTCATAGATGAATACAGTTTACGAGTTCGAAAATATATTTTGTGCAGTTCATGGTACAGGTTACTATAAAGGGAAGCATGTAATTGGCTCTTTAATTAATAAACTGGAGAAACATTATCCTGAAGTTAACAGAGAAGCAATTCGTTTATTTTGCAGAGTGCGAACTTTTATTAGAATAAGTTTCTTAAATAGAAATGCATATGTTTTTTCCCAAAGAAAAGCAGCCCTAAAGACAAAAAGTGGATTGCTTCGAATGTGGCAGCCAATAAATAATATTTCAACAAGTTGTAGTTGCATTGTGACTGTACAAGAAAGCATATATAATATGTTTTGATTTGAAGTATTTGTAGATGACATTTTAGAAGTTAATAGCGTAAAGCATATTTCAAATGAGAACTAATTTTGTTAAGTTATTGTTAAAGTTATTTTTATTGTATCCTGTGTTATTATTGATTCGATGTTGTGCTAGCTTAGCATTCTAGATAAAATATAATAATATAAAATTAAAGTAATTGACATAAGAAGACCTGCCTCCTTAACCCCCACTTTTGAAAAATTAAATAATTTTTTTTTTTTAGGTACTGTGAGTAAAGTTGTTTTGTCTAAATTAAAATAACAATCTTACATGCATTTATTTAAATGTAATATTGATGTAAGCCTAAGTTACAAAATTATTAAAAAATATATATGTTATTATATTGAATCGGGAAATATACCAATGTAAAATTTACAATTAGGCTGAAACTCAGATTAGCAGAAATTTTGAAAACTATGCCAATTTAAGGTTGCTTTTTGATTAATTTTAAATAGCTGTTATTATAGTTATCTTAGAAGCAGTAGTAGAGTTCTTTTAATTAAATCTCAGATAAAGAAATGATTAGAAATAAACAGGCATTTAAAAAAAACAATCCCTGCAAATTAAAAAAAAGGAACTTTATGTTAAGAGTAGCGTATTTTATTTGTTATTTTAAAATTTGTTAAATTAAATTTTTTAATGTTCAGTGTAAAACGCATACTACAGTAACATTGTCTCTTCTAAATGATAACTGTCTTTCACACACAGCTCATTTTAAACGCTGATTCTTCAAATTTAAAACACTAATTTCTATGTTGTCAATTGCATCTCCGCGTTCAGTGTCATTATGGCTACGTCATCACTCCCCGCTGCCTGTTTCAGGGGAAAAAGCTCTATGAGCTAGCCTTCTTTTTAAGTCCAGGCCTGATTTTTTCGCCCTTTAAAATTAATTATCAAATATTTTCGTCTTTTTTGGAATGCTTCGTGGGAAAGGAGAATCGGCGTTATAAAAAGAGATTTATCCAACCAATAGACTAATTTTGACCAATTTTTTAAAAACTATTCGTGCGATTTTTACAAAACTTTGTAGTTTGACGTAATTTGAGTCGTAGAATGAAAATATGGAAAAATTTGGTATGCCATTTCAGAAAAAGGTCCGATTTTGTGTCAAAATACCTATACTAGAACAATGCTGTATATAAATCTAATACATATCCTAAGTCGCGCTTTCGAGACATAAAAAACGCAAATTGAATTTGTCAATCGGCGCAGTAGAACGAGAGATATAGATTGTTCCAGGCTGTCTTCCAGGCGAACAGTTGTCCCCCCCCCCATGTATAGCAGGTTATGCACAGGCTGGTGGTGGCGCGTCTTTGGGACCCTTAGTTGTGGTAGAACAAATGGGTTGGCCGCATTGTTAGGATTGTAAACGCTCTGTTACTATGACCGATAAAATAAATCTCCAAGTAATGAATGCACTTTCATTATACACCTTACACAATTCACACTGAATGCACCTTTATTACAGCAAACAAATGGTTATTACGGGCTTTTTTTATGAAGCGAGGGGGCATTATATTTTTATATTTTATATATAAAATATAAAAATACATTTTTAGTGCTAATTAGTGATGGAATGTTTTATGCAGGTTCAAATGACAGAAATGTAAGTATTACTAACCGATGAAATTTCATACTTCAAAATTAAATATTAAATAAAATATAAATATTGAATTTCTACCTGGGTGAAGTGGTTATAATCTCCAGAAAAGAAAGGCTTGATGTAACTTTTATCGAATATACTGACTTCGTCGTACCATTTCTTTACCATCTTGTCCCAGTCGTGTGTCGTAGGTTTGTCAGAGTTACCCGCTCGGTAAAGATTTTGCCCAACATCAAATCTGTCTGAGAAAATACGAAATCAAATACCTTTAATCAACTAAAAAGCAATGTAACTCATAAAAGTTTGACTGTCATTTGATAAAAATGTAATGTGGACACCACATGAATTTCTTGTACGGCCTATTAAATTCGACACATTTTTTTTGCTCCATTTGATATAAACTTATTTCATTAGAGATATATCTCTCATTCAATTACCTGAGTTCTCACATCGCGACAAGGCAAAAATACAAAAAACTCAAAATACCTTCGGTAAAAATTGTAATTTACAAAAACATAAAACACCAAAAACAATTAACAAAAACACATTTACAATTAAAATGATAATTTCTACGCCAAAACAAACAATTTGGTCAGCAGGCAAGAAGGCAGATTTTTCGGTGCCCAAAACTAAAAGTTTACTTTTGGTCCCACTCTTCAGAAAGACACCGAAGGTGAAGAAACTGACTTTATTCACCATTCTATTAAGAGTTTCAAATGTAAACAAATGGCTTAGGGCCCACCAGCGACCGAGCGGTTAAGTCGCTGAACACTGGTTGTTCGGTCCGAGTTTCGAATCCCGCGAACGGGCTGGCTGCATGGGCGTTTTCGTGGTTTTCCCCATGTGTAACATGTATACGAGCCAGTGCCCCTTAGAAAGTCCTCCACGAAGGCATTCCTCCCCTTAGGCAGATAGCCCTCGAGCCTTTGCCATAATCACACACACAAATGGCTTAGTAGCTTCACTAGATTTAGTAGCACTTGAACAACTTTTAAATTTTTGATAATTCTACAACTATTGCATGCAGATTAACTAAAGGCATAAGAACCTTAACATAAGAACAATATAATTCAATCACTTTTAAAGCAAAAAAGCACAATTTACCAATATATAAAATTAAAATACTAGGCTCACCGAGCCGCCTAACAGAGTACGTATGTATATATCTATATAATTACAAAACACTTTTTTTAAAAGCAAAATGTAAATATGCCTAGTATTTTCGCGCTTTAAGCTGCTGAAAATTATCATTGAAGATATAAAGTAGAAATGTGAACTATGTCACAAGACCAAAAATTTTGAAATTCATAATTAATAAATTTCAAATAAGCCTATAAATGCAACAAAGAATTAAATAAATCTTAAAACCAAAACTTTTAAAAAAGCTATACCCCAATTCAAATTTTTTTATTGAAATTTAAAGAACATAACAGAAGAGGAATTCAATCAACTTCAATGCCCCTTCATCAGGGAAAAGGAACATTGAAATCAATTGAAATCTCTCTTCTACAAAAATCCAAGCTTTTCTGTATCCAGAATTAGCCGATGAACCATTTCAATGCATTTCAATTATAATAATTCACCCAAAAATTCTAGCTTCAATCACTTTTTAAGCAAAAAATGCACAATTTACCAGCATATAAGAATAAAAAAAAACTGAACTCATCAAGCCGGTAACAGAGGAGTCTGTACATATATATCTGTAATGATATTTTCAAATCAATTGATTAAATTCAATTGTAATCATATTCCTTAATAATGTGTTGGCGATTCTCTACCTAAATTGCATCCCTGTTCCTAAATTTTGGCGAATCCTTTCTTATTAAATATATTAACCTGTTGACGCCCGCCAAATCGCCAAACTCATAAATCTGTCATAAAGTCCTTAAGAACACACCTGATGAGAAGATAACGTCACCACGTGATTTCAATTAATATCGCCGATTGGATGAGCAACATGACGCACACATATCTATAAATAGGACTTCTCCTCGAGGTACAGGAGGAACGTTTGTGAGATGGATGCTGAAATAAATGTATCACTTTATATTCCAAAATTTGTCTCATTCCTGTTGGCCCGGCTGCACAACACAAATAATGCATGAGAAATTACATTTCATATATATATATTTACTTTTACTGCAGACGGTTGCAACGAAAAAGGGAGGTGCACAGATACATATTATAGCAGTCCCATGTATAAAATTTCAAAGCTCTGAGGCTACTAGTTTTTAGAATTATGCGAAATACATACATACGAACAGATGATACGAAAAAATATCTTTTGAATCGGTTTTCAACCTGTTTTGGGAAAAAAAAGTCCTTTATTCTGTCGGTATGTAAAGATGTCATGTAAAAACGTCATCCAAATAGGTTCGATAGTGGCCAAAATGAATATTTTCGTTGAAATATGATACCCGAAATTTTTCGCGATTACAATACTTCGCTTATTTCATGTGTTATATGCAAAAATATAAGTATTATGTCCAGTCAGGCTAAATGGTTTGAAGCTCCAGCATAACTTAGATCGTATCTTCAATACTGAAGTTCCGATAATACAACGTTCGAGAAAATTATCCAGCCGTGAACTATTACTTAATGAAGCTGTTAGACTTGAGTTATCGGCTTCGATATCTCAGTGTATAAAAGTGAAGCTGTTCACTCACTTCAGTGTATAAAAGTGAGCTGTTCTGAGGGGAGTAGGAGAACCAAAATTCAAATGAAATCTTACGTATACTTTTGAAAAAAATCTAAAAACTAGGAATTCTACACATTTAAATTGATTTCCAACATCCTAGAAGTAATTATGTTTTTTAAATATTAAGAACATAAGTAATGGATAATGCGAGTTAATGCGGTTGCAACGGTATTACTCATTTTCCAGCTGAAGGCAATTTAAGTATGGTAACATGTTTTGAAAATTAGGCAGAGTTTAAGGCAACCTTAAATTGTCTTAAAATAAGCCAGAATTCAGTTTGATTTCATTTATAAACTCTATATAATTTCAGCAACTTGCGCACGTATTTTGAACATCTCCGTTGGCGAAGTAGATTTTCTAGAAACGTTTCACATTCATAACAAATCTTTCAGTTCTAATTAATGATCTCAACTCTGAGCCGTCTTTCCCTACCTTCAGTTTTTAAGGAATTTATTTCATAGTTGTTGCCACTTTTTTTCAATAAATAATCCTCTGATTGTGCTATCGAGTAAGCAAAGGCTTCTTTTTCGCCATTTACAGTTTTACATCTGAAGAAAAATGTTCTATTCAAACTTTCGAAACTAGCCCTGCATATTTATGCAATTTATGCTTTTTATTGCTTCTTATTCTTATTTCTGATTGCTTCAGTACCCCTAGCATTATTCTGATTTATTTTCAGTACCTCCAGCATTATTCTGATTGCTTCATTATCATCAGTATTCATTAAAAAAGTTAGAGCTTCGACAAATATTTTACTTCATTACCACAAATTGGACCCTAGAAACCTCTTCAATAATGATACGATTAAAGATTAAAATGAATTTGTCATAAAACAGTTTTTCCCCCCTCGTTTTGAGGAAAATATGAAATGAGTGCTTTTTATTGAAATTAATACTCGTATTATGACTAAAGTAATGATTACTTCTTCCTGGTTTCTTGAAATCTGATGAATTTAAATGTTTGCGCGTTAAATAGAGATTATAATGTTCAGAAGTTTGTGAAACATTAAAATTATACATTAACATCAATATTAAAGTATTGATATTATTCGTTCGTATTAAAGCTGCAGAAAATAAAGCGGGTCAAAACACCATGAAACGGATCAGTTTCAGCCCGTAATAAGACTCACACACACATCTAAGAATAAACAAGTTTTACTATAAATTCTACTGTAATTTTTCATACAAATTTCGATAACAGTACTCATGCATTAGCATACACACAGACAATAATCGATTAACGGGACGCGGATTAACAGCATTGCGATTAGCCAGACCATATTTAAAACTGTTAAATTAGTTTGGTATCGAAAAATGAACCCACTATTAGCATAAATTTTCAGCGTTAAAGAAAACTGATTTCTTGTAAAAGAGAAAAATTCATGTGATAACAGCAGTGAAAACTGATTATGTCATAGACATTAAAATTACGACACCATGAAGGCGGCTTTCAACAAACGCCAAATTTTGAAGAAAGGTGGTACTGCATGCTGGAAGATGCAATTGATTAACATTCCAGTGCATGCGCATAAAGCAGGTAAGAGTAACACCCTCTACATTGTATATAAATGGGAAGACAGCACATCGGGCATCTCATTTGGAAATCGCATTTGAACATCAGTTGTTTTGTGTAGAGGTGGTGTTATACTTCTTGTAAGAAACAGAAACTCCTACAAACAAGTGGGTCGTGGCCTGTCGGGATGCTGCTTATCGTTCAGCGACCTTGATTTCTGTATTGGTATGGACCGCATGATCGTCAGGCGAATATATAATCGATGAATCCTGAAGGGCCATACTGAACACCATGCAGGATCTCAGCGGCCCAGGGCATCTAACGTCCGAGAAGGCAGACATGTTTTCCTCACGGCCTTGAGAGATCGTACAGCCACATCACGTACTTTGAGTCAGGAACTTTGGTTACGTGCAAGCAGCACCATGGGTTGTCCTCTCGGCGGCCTTTGTTGCGGCTTTCCTTGACGTTGCAGCAGAAAAGGAGCATCTACAGTGGTGAAACGAACGACGACACTGGAGACAGAAGTTCCACCACGTCGCCTCTTTGGATGAATATATTCTGCTTACAGCATCATGATGGATATGTAGTCATGTATGGAGGCACCGAAAAGAGCAAACGTTGCCAGCTTGCGTTCGCCATCATCATACGGAGTCAGGCACCTTACTTGTTTATATTGGGTGACATTTTTATACATCCCAGTCATATCTTGTTCGTGTAGCTGGTAATACGAACAGTTTCCATTAAATTTCTGACATATTAAGGCCTTTGGTTATGCCCTGTCTTTGAGACCTGAATGACACCATCTTTCAACAAGATAATGCACGATCACATGTGTTATTGTAATCGCTCTAGGGCAGAAGAGACAATTCTACAAAAAGCTGTAAGTGAAGCCCCAATTAATGAACGATTATTATGAAATATATACAGAAGATGTTGGATTGTTGGCCTGGGCAGCATGTTTTTCCAGATTTCCTATCTATTGAGAACATCCGATCATGAGTTTCCGAGAGACTGGCACCCCACCACTTTTGAGCCACTACGACTAAGAACAGTGGCAAAGAGTTGAAGCCACATTGAATACAGTACCCGTATCTGTCATTCAAACAGACAGATAGCCCTCGTATGCTTTGCCATATTCAAACAACAAAAAGTGTTATCCAATCGTCTGTTTGACTCGATGCCCTGCCGGGTTCACATGCTATTGCTGCCAGAGGTGACAGGTCTGTATACTAACAAACTCTGCATGCTGTGTACGCGAAACCACTTGAAAATTTAAACATATCTTCATTCCGTTATGCTGTAAAAGATTCCGCTGTTTGCTTTCCGTCCTGGTGCAGCAATTTTAATGGATAAAAGGGTATTTATGAGCTGTTTTTATCCCTAATACGACGTGATTTAACTGTACTCAATCCGGAAGATATAAACATTAAATAATAAAAAATAGAATGTTCTGACATTTTTGCTCAATTTTGATTTCAATGACATTGTTAAGGTACTGCTATGAATATTATTCAGTAATATCATTTATAGCTTAAATTCTTCATTTTGAATTATATTTATTCTTCCGTTATTTACAGTCTGTTCCTTTTATTTTAAATTTTGATTTAATTTACATAACCAAATGTACTGTTCTCAACATTAACGTGCTTGGAAACACGGATAAGTTATAGGCAGACAGCCCTAATGGGCTTTTCCATAATCAACTAAACTAACTTCTTCAGAAGGTCATCTGAATGGGAGACTTACGATGTTTCCACAAGAAGGACAACCAAGTGCAAAAAGTTGAAATTAAAAACATTAGAATATGATTTAACTTAAAAAATAGGTTCTAGTATGGAGACACGATACACTACACAAGACATTTTCCATTTAAATAGAAATCTTTCTGGCAAAAGCCTATAAACACTGCCAGAACGTAATTCGTTTATAAAATGCGATTACAATTAACATTTCCTACTTCAGTATCAAAACGCGAACTCCGCACGCACGCACACACACACACAAAAGTGACAGTTCTGTATCTCCATTTCTACTGGGACAATTGACAAAATTTATAGTAATGCTATAATTTTGGTATAAGATCGGAATTTGATATAAGACGATTTTTTTTTTTCAAATTTGGATTCTACGACTCAAAATTAGCTTCTAAAATTTTAGCTGCTCAGTGTTAATTGAATTTGGTATAATTTATATAACCTGTAAAATTTATATCATCATCTTAAGTAAATGTATTTATAGGCATACCTTTCAAAAAATTACAGGTTTTTATTGAACATTTCCCAAGGCATACGTGATTTCATTATATAGGCGCGTTTTGAAATTGGGAATATTTGTTCTAAGCGAAAATAAAGCCCAATGTAGTTTATGCACTTTCTTAAAATTATTTGAAAGAATTAACAGTGCACATTTTTTCTGCTCGCGTACAATGAAAGAGGAAAAAAAAAAAAAATAGGCTACCATCAATTAAGAATTTCGCTAAGGGAAATGATTCTAGACGCAAACTGAAAAAAGTGCGAAAAGATAAATTTTTAAATTTATCTGTAAATTTCTCTCCAAATTTTACAAAATTTCATATTTGCGCATAATCTGAGTCGTTGGATCGAAATATGGAAAAAGGTCTATATGCAATTTCAGAAGAAGTCCACTGTTGCTTTGCCTAGGTCAGAATAATGCTATATATAAATCTAATATATATCCTAAGCTTCTCTTTCGAGACAAGATAAGCTCAAATTATGTTTCTTCACTCAGTCCAATAGAGAGGGAGATATAGAACTGCCGCCTCCGTTTTTGTGTGCGTATGTGTGTGCAGAGTGTGCATAGAATATGCTTATGTAGTTGTGTGTAATTTATCCTTATTTATACTTCATATCTAATTAATATGAAACAGTTTCCTGTTTATAAACTGTTAATGTAAGTCCACTGATTAGAGCTGTTAGTGTTACGCTAGATTTATTTTGTGAAGAATATTTTGTGAAGCGGTTAATATAAATTTTAGATTAAAACGTTTTCATGAAATTTCTTACTACCACCCAGCAAATTCTAAAACACTTATTATAGTAAAATAGCAATAAAATTACTGTTCCTCTTACAATACGGCCAAATACTTTTGAGTCATTATAACCAAAAACAAAGTTTTGCAAAATTTACTCACCGACTTGTCTGCATTCATCACAGTCATGGTCATAGATACACTGTTCAGCCCATTTCTGAGCAATTGAAGCAAGTTCGTCGTCCCAAGCCTAGAAATATTTCTATAGTCAGCTAAACGAACACTATTTTTACGAAAATAAATTTAGAATACATATAAACGCTTTACATTTTCCTGAAATTTATTTTCACATTTACAAATATCATGGTTATAAATAAATCAAATTGCTAAAGCAAGCAGCTCATTTTCTAAAATCAGTTTTACAAAACGTAAGAACGTTTTTCTTCAAACAAAAATCAGTACTTTCTGAAAATGATTGTTTAAATACTTCTTCACACAATTACTGTAGCCTGTTGTATGACAATGTATTACTTTTTTAAGATGAATCATTTGCATGCCTAATTGTAACACATTATTTGTTGCTGTAATGAGAATACGCATATTGCTATTAATTTTTAAACTTATTCTTTTTGAAACAAAAGTTTAGGCTTCGGTTTTGTTTTTCTAAAATTGACATTTGCTTCCAAAACTGGGATCACAGAAATTTTTATTATGCATGACTTGCATCTCATTACTGTTTTGTTTTGATCCATTTCATTTTCCCAGATTAGGTATCTTTTTTGAATAGTCCTGTTTCATCCTTTGTCCATGGGATCGATAAGAGGGGTTCCCATTTCAGCCTTTCTTCTCTGCGTTAATGCTTATTCCAAAAACGACGACGATATATACAGGGTGATCTTTTTTAAACTTGAGATTTTAAATAACCCCAGAGTCAAAAATCGCATGGCGTGAGGTCAGGGGAACGAGGCGGCCATGCAACTGGAAAACTGCGACTTATGACTCTATCATCAGTGAAGTTTTGGCGCAACAGCTGCTTTACCTTATTACTAATGTGTGGCGGAGCACATCCTGCATAAAGATTGTCTGTTGAGACGGTTTCTTGCTGAAGTTGTGAATAACAACGTTTGCAGCATTTCGTGTACCTTCTGCAGTTATGGGTATGTTTGGGGTCCTGTCGAAGATGGTCTCAAAAAAGAAGCCCCAATACGAATTCGGCTGTGAAACCACACCAAAGACTTTGGAATGAATAAGATTTCTGCACGGCGTGGGGCTGCTCAGAAGCCCAAATCGCTATTTTGTGTTTAGGACCATTGAGATAAAATGGCACTCATCTCCCCACAGAATGTGCCATGGAAAGCAATCATCAATTTCTACCCTGGCAGAAACGATAGAGCGAATGTCATCGCTTATCATAATCACTTGGTTTCAGTACGTGCAAGCGGCTGATTTATAGGGATAAATCCAATAACGCGCCGCAAAATTCTCCATACCGGGAATAATTCGTGTCCAATTGTCGAGCTACACCGGGCGCTGCTATTACTAGCAATGGTTCCCTGCGATCCTTCGACAATTGCAGTTGCCACGTCAGTTACTACATCTTCTGATACGGTTTACGTCCTCTTCCAGCGCGAATGGTCGGACCCGTTTTCTCGAACTTCTTAATCATTTTCTTAAGACCATTCAGCGATAAGGTACCTTTCGTAGTTTTTTTTCATTCGCAATTCCGAAGAGCAGCGGGCATTACATTTTCATGTTAGACAGCTCACCAGTAACGCACGTTCGGTAACGTGAGAGGCTACAGCGAGGCTACTTGTAAGTACGCAGCGCCCCAAAGCCTAGTTTCGATTTTTGGAACTAAAAGTGTTTTTCACGGAATCATTTTTCCCATGTCTTGATTAGTCTAAATACCAAGTTTGGTGCCATTTCAGATATTAGATCGCACTACAGGGCTCTCCAAACACTGTCACTTTAAAAAAGATCACCCTGTATATTAAAAGGTGTTTCTAAGATGATCCGCCTCTTAAACTTTGAGTTCAGACTACGTTTAAGTACAACCCTAATGTTGTAACACCTAATCATTAAGTTTTTTCAATTTGAATATTTTTAATTAGTTAAAATTTGAATATTTGTGGGCACTAACCATTTTTAGGCTTTTCCACTGCTAAGGCCAGAAATGTTGGTCATTTTATTATGGAATCACCTAACAGGCGGCCACCGTTACCTCCTTTGTTGGGACAGACCATTTGCACTCATGCCTTCTGTGGGATTGGAACCCGGACTCTTTGGTATCACAATCGGCTACCTAACCACTCTACCGTCTGGGCGGCCAATTTGCTTGTAATTCGGTGCTATCTTGAGATATGGCCACACAGAGCTTTAAAGAACAATTGAGGCTAAAATATTTTGAGAATTTTACACCTTAAATGAAAGCGAAAAATAAGAACTTCCAAGAACCGTGCTACATTATGTTTGAGGTAGCACATTTTCAAATGTAATGCTCCAAAGACGCATGCAAATCAGTGATAATTACTTCACTACTTTTAATATTGCTACGAAATGTTCAGGCGCGGTAAGATAGCTTCTCCGCAAAGCAGGTTTAGGGTTGCCATAAAATGGCAAAGGACCGCAGTGTCGCCACATTTGGCCAGAAATCACCCATTTGGCGACAAAATTGGCGATATACTATGGAAGGATGGAGAACCTTCTGGTACGAATTCTTGCCAGTTAACCCAGAATGTTCGTCGAAAGCTATATAAACCCTGCGGGTACGCGGAGAGTCAGTGCGATGTAGTTAACCTCGAGTTAATTAGTTCGTGCGGAGTCGATCGAGCTGACAGCCGGGCAGCGAGTGCCGAGTGGGTCGTCGAGTGCATCAAAACCGTTTCTTAGTGTATCATGGTTAGTGCATCATCGAGAGAGTGTCATGAGGTCCGGGAACGACTGAACCAAAGGGTCGGGAGCTGTGCTCTCTGTGTCGTCGAGTGCATCGCGAGTTATAGAGTGGAGAGTCTCGAGAGTACGTGGAGTTCCGAGAACGACCAAGCAGAGTCGGGAGCTGTACTCTGGTGTTTTGCAGTGAAGCTGTCTCCACCATTATAGCCTGATAACCTGAAGGCTTTGTCGCTGATTGTTCCAGAGAGTGTATGGTAGATCTTCAACGACTGTAAAACGTGACTTTGGAGCTGTCATGATTAATATTGGCTAAATAAAGTGTGTTTCGATACTTCATCGAGTGTAGTCGTTATTCACTCCAAATCTACGAACTCCATACGAACGTGAAGGAAGAAAATAACGTAACACTATATCAAATTCTAATTTTTTAAAATATATGCATTTCTTCGTGGAGGAGAATATTAAATCATGTATAGGAGAAATGAATTTCAAGATGTTTACTTCATCTTGAAAACCATTGTAAGCCATCATTATAACTATTTGTATATCATACCATCACCATTATATCATCATATATCATCATCATTATAACCATTTGTAAGCGTTATTTCGTTTTAAAAACTATCATCTTCAATATTCACCGTCTGCCTATGCCTATGCAATGTTTCTACTTATAGTATTGCCATGACTACTAGTAGAAATGAGAAATAAAGATAATTTCAAAACTTTTCAATTTGTTCTTATATTTACCACTTTTATTCTGTCTTACCATTTCAAACATATTTGTTGCTGATGGTAATTTTCCGGCTTGAGTCTCTTTACCTGATGCAACTTTCTCTCTGTACATGTTGTGTAAGTCTAGAAGGCGCTTTTTGTCATCTGGTTTCAATCCTCGTTCCAAGATAGTGCACTTAGGATTTGGATCTTTGCAGAAACTGTGGTTTGGGGTGAATTTTGCATACGGACATTTTGCACACTCTGACAGTTCAAGGAGTAGTACGAAGAGTAACGCGATTCTAATCACATGATTGACCATTTTAATTTCTAAATCTGTAAGAAATAAAGGAAGTTTTTGTTAGCGATTTCCCTCATTATTAAACAAAAGTATTTTTTAATCCTAAAAATAAAATTTAATAAATTTTTTTAATTCAATATATATATATATATATATATATATTGGTTCCTCTTCTTCAGAAGACATTCCTGCACAGCCGTCTTTTACTTCTGCTTCTGACAGCAATAAAATGCGCAGCAATTCTTTCTAGTTGAGCTCATAATTTATGGTTCTTCAGCAAATTCTCCAATAGATTAATTGTTAATTTAATAACACATGGGTTTATGTAAAGACACAATATCATAGAGAAACAAAAAGATCCTAACAAAGTGCTCAAAGGCTCTATATGAAACTCAATCTGGCAATTACTTCTTGGAAGCCAGATTCATGATCCTCATGTCATTTGCTGTCAAGTTTTGTTAATAAGAATCAAGCAATGGGAAATATTAAAATATTTTTTCCAAAAGGTCCTGAGTATTTATTTGTCTAATACATTACCTCAAAACATTTTTGAAAATCATACGTTTCCGATTAGTAATCAAGAAATTGTAACTCAAGAAATTGTTCGTCATTCAAGCCTTTTTTTAGTTGATTTGTTCATGAAGTGAAGTATTTATGATTCGAGTCCACTTATGTGGATTTGCTAAAGGAAAATGTATGACTGGAAAAATCTCTAATCAAATTACTAAATTTATCATACACGTTAGGGGCATATATCATAAACTACAGTACACAGAATACATTCATCAATATGTTGATTTTAATGAACATATTGATGAATATGTGGTGCTTCCTATAGTGTATGATGACATATACTGCTCATTATAAACATTTCACTCTCTATTAAGACAGTCTCAAAATTATATACTAAATTTTAGTTCATTTTAATATAAAAAATTTGATCTGGGCACCACATGGCATCTTTATACGGCCTAATAAATTATACACATTTTTTGCTGCATTTCATTTAAACTTATTTTCTCGAATTTCATTAGAGATATATTTCTCATTCAATTAGAGAGGTTGTCCTAAAGGGATTTTTAAAGGAAAATGTCAAGATCTATGCAGGTTATTCTCCATGCGGTAGCTGCACTGACGTCAAGTTGTTGGTCCAAATGTCGAGTTGGTGCTGATGGTTCTTTCTCTATTATTATTTTAACAGCGGGGATGTTTTTGGTCATCCTTGCTGTCTTTTATTTGGTCTTCATGGCCACTTAGTCATCAGCAACTGAACCTGTTCATTCAAACTTAACAATTAAGGCATACAACTTGCATGAAGAATGCTTTGACCTGTTTTTATAGGTACCATTTCCTGAATGCAGCAAAGCAAAATATTCTTCGAAACTAACTAGGTCACGAAACTAACTAATAAGTTTCTTTTGGGTCCCTGCGCAAGCGCGTACAATTTTATGTGACTAGCTACACCCGTTGAAGAGCTATTCAACTAAAAGTTTCGCTATACCCTGTGCTTAGGAAGTCCTTAACGAAGACATCCCTCTCTCCCATAGGCAGATAGCTCTTAATCTCTTTGCCATAATTAAAGAAATCAAACCGCTATACCTTCTGCATGAGTTTAAATTTTGCGATTTTATTCAAGTTCAAATTATAAATATTGTATTTTAATTCTACTTTACAAATAAATTTCTTCATTTCTAATCATAATAATTCTCCTGTTATTTACTATATACATTCTTTTTGATTAACTTATTCTTCAGAAAATCTGCTTCGGAATACCAGGAAGCTGAATTTTTTTAATCGTATTTATTTAATTGTATTACTTATTTAATTATTACTATTCATTTAATTGTTTTTCTATTTTTGTGATTAATTAATGATTTTGTAATTAATTGTTTTGTAATTTTGTAATTATTCATTTAATTATTATTATATCCAAGAAGCTTTGCCGAAGGTCTGTTGTTTTCGTTTTGCGATTTTGCGTTGGTTCACTATAAATGCCCATTTCACTTTTCAAACTTTTGCCACCAAATGTCCTGCATTATATTTGAAGAAATAAAATAATGAAAAATTTGCATAAATGTATGTATATTTCTCGCATAGTGATAAAACAACGGCACATAGAGCCATGGAATTTTGAATGACGTAAACCTCCTAAGAATATGGGCATGTGGAAGCCTAAATTTGAAATTTGTTTTATTATCGATTCATATTTTGTAAAACTTTAACGAATTTTTGACGAACAAACTCAAGGGTTTCAAAGCGAGCAATGGCAGCGATGTACAGAAAAAATATTTTTATCTCCAGCGCGCGAGATTGTGTATCGGAAATTCTAAGGATATGCTCGTTTTAAAACTAGTTTGCGATATTGCTGTTGAACTGAATTTTATGGTTTAAGTGCAAAGAATGTGATATTTAATAAATAAATATAACACACAAAATGTTAAAAAAAATGCCCCTTTCGACATAATTTAAAATCTGAGCCCAGATTGTTTTTCAGATTTTTTTTTTGTTAATAATTTTTTAATTTTTTTTTACTTATTTGATTGTTAGCCCAAAGATTGTTAGCCCAGAAGGGATATTAATTTCGCTTTGGCATTTTGCGTTGATTCGCTATAAACGACGAATCACTTTCTAAATTATTGCCACCGAATACTATAGCCCGATAATGCTGGTGAATTGAATTTCATGGTTTACGTGCGAAGAATATTATATTTAATAAATGAAGGTAACACACAAAACGTTAAAAAAGGCCTCTTTAGGCGTAATCTGAAAGCTTTCAGATTTTTTCAAGTATTATTTTAATTTTATTTAATTTATATTGTATTATTCGCATTATATTATTAATTATTTATGTATTATTAAGTGTATTATTTTCATTTATTATTGTAATACCAGGAAATAGTGTTTTTCTGTCAATTATAACATAATTTAGTCCTTTTTCCTCTATTTTTAAGTGTTTTTAATTGCTTAACAGTTAATTGTTTTTTGCGTTACCGTAAACGTCGTGTCTGGGTATTACCCGGTTTAATCGAAGTTAACTATGTTTCTAAGAATACAGTGTTTTCAAAATTGATGAATCATTTAAAGCAGCCCGTTAATACAGGCTACTTTAAATGATTACGCAGGTAATTTTGAATAATTTACCCGGGTAAATTTGAATTAATATCACAAGTTTCATGCCAAGAACTATATTTTTATTTTTAAACACATTTTATTTTAAAGCATTAAATAAAATGAACTTCAAATAAAGATTTATGAAAATTAAGAGCACTTACTTAAAACACAAAGGTAGCTGATCTCAATAGTAATTTCTCATCGAGTAGAGAACAGAGTTTCTCAAACGTCTCCGTTCTCTCGCGTATCATATATAACGATTTTACGGTTTCTTTTATATCGAAGAAGTGATTACTTCATGTCAAAATATCCTGACTTCACGTCAAAAACTTTGATGTTATATGGTTGAACTTTTCACAACAGAAGTACCTGATATTTTCTTTAATTTAAATTCCTAGCAGCTCACATCTGCTATCATGATATCAGCCTTACTAGTCAATTAATATTTTATTTTTATCTACAACACAGTGTATTTTCAAATATTTTTTTTTTCTGTTTCGCTTGTTAAGATCATAACACTGTAATGTCAAAAATAAGGAATATGCATGTGTCGGAAAGCAGCTGTAACTGATGGAAAGGAATATATGTAAAATTCTCTTACTGTTTTCTTAATTTTTATGTAACTTGAAATACGATTTTAATTAAGTTGAATATTTAATAATCACAAAGTATTCGATCATTGCTTGCTTTAAAAGGCAGGAGTTCAATCGCTAATTTTGAGAGAAAATCTGGCTCCTATTTATTTTTTACATGGGTACACCTCAAAGAAACCTATCATCCAACCTGTTTAGCATTCCACAAATGGCTAAGTTTACATAAGGCTTAGTCTGATTCTATTTATGAATTTTCGATAACTTTTCATAAGTTCTTAACTGACTTTTTAGCTGCGATCTGAAGGTAATTTAGTACCATAATTTTCTCCCCAAAATCGATTCCGATATTTTTAATTAGTAGCATAAAGAATTATCGCATTCCCCCGTGTGAGCTTTCATGGTGAATATGGCTACATGTCCAGCTACGAAGTCAAGGAACGTGATTTGAATGAGCAGTAATTCATTACCATTTTAATTGTGATTAAATGTGTCTCGTCACTCTCCCAACTCGCCGTTTAAGTGGGGGAGAATGGAAAGAATTATCGCTTCTCCCCAGCTTGCTCTTGTAGAGTAAGTGGTTAGCATGTTCGCACAGTTAATTTAAAGTCAAAGAATTCAATACCAGCATAACTAATTTAAGATCAAAAGAGCAAACACCGAAAAAGATATAGTATAGTCAATTTTTCGCGAAAGCCCTCTACGGTACTAATATCACTTGCCGGCTCTGCAATAGTATGCTCTGGGCATACCTTTGGTGCTACTTTGGTAGACGGTTGCACGGATTTTTGGCGAGATCTTTTTTGGCGAGCGATAAGACGTATGGTAAACTTATTGCTGGACGAGTTACTTATGGTAACCGATACTTTCTTGTCATTTTATTTTTCAAAAAATGCGTTTTATTATGCATAAATTCCGTGTTTTAAATATTATTTATGGCTTCTTAATATTAAAAATGAATTTAATTTTGCATTTTTATTTGAAATAAAAATTTTATTATGATATTTTATATAATTTTATGTTGTGGATGATGTAATCAATGACGTCACCTTACTTTAAAAGTTATTGATTTTAATACCTATAAATTTATTATTAATGACTGCTAAATATTAAATTATAATTTAATTATGCATTTTTAAAAATTATTTTATTATGTATGATTATTTAAATAATTTTAATTCTATGCGTGATCTCATCAGCTCCCTTATTTGTTACTGAATATTTGTGCATTACCGCGCTATTTTTAAATTTTATTATTCATCTCTTCGAATTCCTTAGATTTCATAGCGAACGGATATGTTCTTTTCAAATGTTGTTATTGATAAGTACCAAGAATTATTGGTATCGGAATCAAAAATTCGTCCTTTGAGACCTTATTTTGGCCAACCTGGTTTTCCTACTCAAAGATTTATTTCTAAATTGTTACAAGAGTCAGAGGAAACTTATTTTAAATTTTTGGATGAAACCTCACTAATTGCTTCTTCAAGGAAATGCGAGAAATATGGATCATAGATGAAGATCGTTAAAACAGCCGATTCTGGGGACGGCCGTATATGGTATTGTAGTCACGGTAAAATAAGAATTAGACATTCCTCCTTTTTTACCGACAGTAAACTTCTAATTGCTGTCATTTTAGCTCTAGTGTACGAAGCGTTCTTATTTATTCATTTTAAAGTATTTGAATTTAAGTAATATTTTCATTCTTTTAAACGTTGGTATGATGGTTTTTAATTCGATATTCAATTAAAGTAATATTTTAATCCAATTAAACGTTGCCACAATGTTTTATAGCGGTATTTTTATTCTATTTCTTTGCTATAAGAAAGTAATAGTTTAACCTTACTTTAGTATTTTATACTCGCAGTAAATGTATTTATTTACATTTGTCTGCCGTCTTACAAAACAACGTTTTCAACAAAAAATTAATCCACTATTTTTAACAATATTTATGTTTTTAAAGTTTCGAATACTATGCATTAAATGCGTAAAAACAGCATTTTTTCAAGATGGCTGAGGATTGTAAAAACCGCGCCAATAATTGCGCCAGAGTAAATCGCCAAAAATCCGTGCAACCGTCTACCAAAGTAGCACCATACCTTTTAGAATTCCCACCAAGAGCTTCCAAATTTACCATATAATAACGCAACTACAGGCGATTTTTTAAAGCAGTGAACAAACTGAAATATTAATGTTTACTTTTTTCCAAGAGGTACTATGGTTAGCTTTACGAAATGTCTTCCAAATGTAATCGGACACTTTTGACTTCCGAAAATAATGTTAAAAATATTAAACGTATAAAAATAAAATTACACAGTGTGATTATCCTTGAATTAAGCGTTTACATAATTCGTTCGTTTACAGTAAAATATTCAACTAAAAAATTAAGACTTTACAGCGGAAAAATCATATCACTGGAAATTAGCATTTTTCCTTTGATCGGCAAAGTTTTAAGAGGCTTAATAGCATAATACTGACTTTTAAGAAATAAAAAAATATTTGAAAGGAACTGTATTCATAAAATTAATAAAAATATTAACGGGGAATTTTTCAGTTTAAAAGTTTAAACTCCACATAAGAGGTACTATATATATTAGAAGTAATGAGAAAATTTACAATGTGAATAGTCAAAATCGTGGAGATAAGATAGATATAAATGGAGCAGGTATGAGCGATTCTTCCTGTGCGAGTGGTGGAAATCTTCCGCTAGTGAAATTTCTTGTTCTTTTTGTATCTGTTCTGTCAGATTGCTATTCACATACAACATTATGTGTTTTTTACTGTTTTAAACATGTCAATTAAAACACCGCAATAGACTGAAAACTTTTTATCACAAGATTAAGATGCTTTTAAATTTTAGGAATATTAGCACTGCAAAAGCTATTAAAATGCCTTTAAATGGCAATGACAGGCATGAGAATGTATTTTTTCTTACTACTTAAACCTAAAAGCGTAATTTAACGAGGGCCTCTTACTCTTCTACCGTTAAATCGGGGGATTTGAAACTCGACGTGTTTTAAGTGCCCCCATGCCAGCAAAGAAACTTTACATTTACTTTACATTTACAAACATCCATTAATTTTCCAGGATTTAAGGCCGCGCTCAGTGTTACAGCAGACAGCTCTCCTACAGTCATTCTAAATCAGACTATTCAATGTTTTTAAAATCATGAAGCAATAAAAATTTGTGATGTATAAGCTACAATTTCAGCGCAGTTTCGTCTTATAATCTAGTCCTGAGTCTTTCATTGAGAAATTTAATATTACGTTTTTGTGATGGTTTTAAATGTTGCTGACCAAATCCTTAAAGTAACTCCTTTTCTGAATTAAATTAGAAAGAGAAAGAAAGGACTAGTAAACATATTACTTTCCTTAACTTGACCACTTAAATCACGAAAGCACACTACATACATGATTGTTTGCAGTTTTCCCTTTTGAAAAGGCTAATGGGGAGAGGTCTGAGATCCAGTGAATCAAATTTAAGAAGTGATGAACTATCATTCACGACATTTTAATTCGGATTACACTGTAGAAATTTAGATTTTTTTAATACAGAAAACATGAAAAACAAGCTTTTCTCTCTCTGAAAATAAAAAAAAAAAAAAAAAATATCTTTCAACTCTTAAACAGATATGTTAAGCAGTTATACAGATAAATGGATGTGTAAACCAGTTATGCACTGTAAATACAATAATTCTTTAAAAACTGCACTGATTTTTGATCGGGAGGTACTTTGATGAGTATGCGTTATATAACAGAGTATGATATACTAAATTAAAAAAAAAAAAGGATTTCTCGTGAAGAGAGGATGAATTGATGGAACTTCACAGTATTCGATTTGAAAGTATTATGACCCTTGAAAAACAAGTTAAATGTTCCAATAAACGTAAAATATGTTCATCTAAATGATTCTTTTGGTCGTACATAAGTAGAAATTAAAGCAAATAAATGTTGTTTTAAAAAGAAAAATGATACATCAATTCTAATTCCTAAGAATTTAGACAGAAATGAAAAAAATAAAAAAGAGTTAAATTAAAAAATATAATATGAGACCAATAAAAAACATTCTTGAAAAATACACGTTTGCTACTGGTAATATATGTAACATCTGTCAGTTTAGAACAAAGTAAAGTACTTTTAAGGCCAAAATGCATTATTTATCAGTTAGTGAAATGTGAATTTTATATTTTCCAAATTTCTAAAGTAGATGAAAATTTTAATTTTCGCAATCTTGTCATCAAAAATAACTATTTTCATTGCATGCCCTGGATCAAGCTATTGCATCAGATTTTAAACCACATATTTGCACAATATTTTCTGAATATTTCAGTAGAATGGAAACCAATTGCAGCAGAAAATTATCTTGACGTCATAAGCGGAACAGAAAATGTCAGTGCGTTTATGCCGTGGAATATATTTTGGCAGTATACAATCTGTTTGTTTTCTCATTTTGCCTCGTTTTTCAACTGAAACTATTGATTTCTGAATCACAGAATTTGCATTGTTTACGGAACATCTGGAAATATTTATGATTTCGTGAGAAGTTCGCGTGCTCTGACAGCTACTACGGATGACTCGTTTCTAAATGACCTTGATGAGAAAATTACTCGAAATACAGACAGAAAATGGAAAAAAAAAAAAAAATACAGAAGCCGAAGGAAGTTTCTAGCTCGGTACAATACCTCTATACAAAATTATAAATAAATAACAGCCAATAATAGGGTAAAGTA